GAAATAATACATATTTAAATTTCTAAAATGGTATTTGTTGTCGCTATGAGTGTCAACATAACCTGTTAGTCATTATAATTTCAAACATGGTGCCTATGGGGTACAAGCAGACGGGGTGATCTCGACTATCCGATTTTACCCCGATTGATTTGTGCGTAGGTATTATGGGAGTTTGCTTTATGTCTCTTTTTGATTACTATTTTCTTTTTACAGAGTGTGAGTGTCAGCATGCCACGAACATATTTGAGAAAATCAAATAGGCTTTAATGGTCAGGAGTCAGACATGCTTTTAGCGATAAATTTGGTGATGGAAGGGAGATCTATCCAAGGGATATCTTTTAGCATTAAATTATTAAATTCATATAATGTACTTAAAAGTTGATCAGAAGATTGTGTAAAGAAGATCAGAAGTAGAAAATCCAAATGTGAAGTGTTTCAAAAATGCCCTGCTACTGGAAAATGCGTCTTCACAAATAAACTGGGAGGTATGCTAGTCGAACATATTGAAACTGGAATCTGGACTATTTGGATTGACTAAAACAGATTTGCGACGTTTGGCATTCCAATTAGTTGATCTATTTCGATTGTTTCTCCATCTTCTTGTTTAATCCATCTTTGTTTGGAAATACTTATAACCGTACCTCTACCATGCAAAATGCAGTGTCTGCTTTCACCAAATCCGGAATTTGCCCATTGAATCTCAATATTTTTACAGACGTAAATTTTGCACTATCACAGACTACAGAAATATCATTGCTACCAACTACAAATGAAATCTCTTAGGATCCATTGCCTCGAGAAAAAACTCCGTCCCCGAAAAGAACATCCGGACATCAACGCGTCGAGAAAAAACGGCAAATTCGAATGAATCGCCGTATAAAAATGAACTGGCTGAAAAAGCTACTATATCAGTTATCAACGAAAAAAAAGCAATAGAAAGAAAAAGATAAATAACACAAAAACCACCCAACAAATCAAATAAAAAAAATAAAAAAAAAAAAACCAAAAAAAAAAAAAAAACCCCCCCTTTTTGGGTTTCCGAGGGGGGGTTTGGTTTTTTAAAAATTTTTGTATGCAAAACTGCGAATAATTTTAATATTTTGATTTATTGTTAGTATCTGTATTCACCCTTTTAATATAAAACGCCTATCCGGTTTGACCCATAGGTTTGGGATGAATTCGGATTCATAATTTCTGATTAAGATTGTTCTAGTTTGTAGTTATTAAGATTCATCTCAAATATTTTCATACCAAAGTTATGCCTAAGGTACCTATACTCAAATATTTGAGATATTGATTATCTCAATAAATTACATAGTGATTTATTTATTGTGTCATTATCGTAACTATCCGGTGTCCCCCCACCTTCCCCTACCTTTTAATGCGAGTGGTACCTATTGTTATAATCAGGGACTAAACCTCTACTAAATACAACCACCTTACTCCCCAAAATTCCTGCCAAACGATTTTAAATTCAACCCGAATCCGCTCAGTGTTCACAAGGAAAGAGTAGAAGAGGATACTGAATTTATTGACAAGGTGATGAACAAATTTGGACAGCAACCAAGACGCCTTCAGTTTTTCTATGTATTTAATTTCCTGACAAGTGCAAGTGCACCCCCTTTTACCCTGATGTCGGCGCCCGTGTGAAGAATGATTAGGGTTAGTGTAATTTACTATCTTGGCTATATAACCATTTACCATCAATTGAGATAGTAGCCAGGAACTAGCTTATAATTGGTAGGTAAAAAACATAGTTAAAGTGTTTGGTGACCCCCGATAGATGGAGATGGAGTGCCGATCTAGAAAGAGATGCAAAAGTTGAAGTATGCAGGTGGCATAGGAATTATGACCGTGCTTTGTGACATTGCTTAGGGGAGGCCTATGTTCAGCAGTGGATTTGTTGATGGGCTGTTATGATGATGAAAGTAATTACCTATGATGAAGAAACATAACTGCTAATATGCTATTACGTTAACTTGCCCCTGCCACTATGATGATTACAATCAATCCTCTTGAGTTCTTCACTTTTGACTATTCAAATTAATTTTACTGAAGAGATAGAGGTTAAGAGAGAGGTTGGTTGAGTAGTGGCGGTAGAAAAGAACCCATTTAACCTATCAAGTTTTTACCCACGACTTTGTTGTCTTGAATGTTTAAAAAAAATATATAAAAAAATTTTTATACGTGGTAGAACCACGCTGCAACGATGTTATGAGTGTAGCACGAATGGGTCGGCTCGACCGGGGAAGAACCACGCTCTCACAGAATACCAGCGTGAAATAGTAGCTTAACGCTGCTGTGTTTCATATGGTACGAAGTGTAGAGACCGGAGACCCTTTTTTACTGGAAACGTTGCATTCCATCTAAGTCCTCAGGGGTGAGAGAGCATCTGCGTCTTTTCGCTTAATTTTTTGTAATTTTTTTTAAAAACGTTACCCCTACACTAGGATTTTCTCCTGTATCGTGGGGGCAGTTTACAAACATAAATTTCACAAGGACAAACATCCAGACCCAGAACAACTAATTGTAGGCCATACAAATACTTATTCCGTGCGGGATTTGAACCCGCGACCCCCACCGCAGCCACTCATTGCTAAGCCACTGCGCCACGGAGTTGTGCGTTTTGACGCTTAATCGAGGATAAATATAGATGTCTAAGGGCCACAGCATCCACTTACCATCAGTCTGCCGACTGTGTGCTCGTTGTCACCATTATACTATTTAAAACAAACCTCATAAAAATAAAAACAAATAATATTTGCCTAAAATATTACGCAACGCATTATTGGAATTTTATGGCCAGTTTGATGATGTAGGTACGTAACATCCACTTACCATCAGATGGACTGTGTGCTTGTTTATCGCCCTTACTCTAGAAAATAACTTTATATGGAAAAAGGGTGACAAATGAGTACACAGTTTCACCATCATCATTTGCAGTTCTTGACAATAACTGTTATTGTTGACAAGTAAAAACGCAGTAAAACCAGAGTGACCGACAAAGCCCAACGGATTAGTAAGCTGAAGTTGCAATGGGCAGGCCATATAGCTCGAAGAACCGATAATCGATGGGGAAGAAAGGTTCTCGAGTGGCAGCCTCGTACCGGTACGCGTAGTGTAGGGCGACCCCCCACTAAATGGAGTGACGACCTGGTAAGATATGCAGGAAGTCGATGGATGCAGGTGGCTCAGGACCGTGCTTTGTGGCATTACTTGGGGGAGGCCTATGTTCAGCAGTGGACTTGTGAAGGGCTGTAATGATGATGATGATGTGAAGATTTGCAAATGATGGTGGAGAAAATGAGAAGTAACTTCGACACCAGATTGCAAGAAGCTTTAATGAATAATACTAACTGTAGATCAGCAAACTGCCACCATAAGCTTCTCTAGTTAATCTATTTTTAAGGGCACTGTTTCAATGAGGCACCTGGAGCTAAACAACCACTGTGATGAACGCTTGCGGTTGTCGTATAAGACCAACTTCTCATTGTAGTAGCAATTTGATCTAAGATACCCTCTTTTTAACCGAGTTCAAAGAAGGTAGGTACTCATTTCGACTGTATATATTTTTATGTGTGTTAGGTACCTACCTCAGAACTCTTTTCGCGGTTTGATGGTTATTTTTTTTTATTTGAAAGCTGGTCCTTAGTAGTGGTCGTATAGTAGTTTTTGAGTTGTCATTAATAATGTATTTACATTGATGTTCTCATTTTATTTATATTGAAGTCAGTTGTACAAAATTTTTACCAATAATTTTACCACTTGTCTACCAAATTGGCCTCTCACTGTGCGTCACAAAGTTCACGAGGTATCCAGGTATTTTATCAAGCCTCTTCATTTTACTGATTTGCTGCGACCTCATATTGTTTGGACTCTAACAACAAAAGTTCCCTTGTCGCCTTCAGTTCGTCATTATCAACCTTCTTCACTTGGTGAAGGTCAAAATTTCTAGAAAGAAAGTGGCTGACTGGTACCTAATGTACAGTTTTTTTTTAGACTAAGGGTGACAAACGAGCCCACAGTCCACCTGATTGTAAGCGGATGCAGTGGCCCTAACAGTAAGTCTTTACATTTTCTTTTAAATACACGTTCGGGGTCGCTAAAGATGTCGATGTCATGATTGTTTAAACTGTTGTAAGTTCGCATACATCTGATTATTTACTATGTTTATATTTAAAGAACTTCATACATTCGGTGATGAACTTAACAGGTTTGTATTGAATGTGTTAAAAATACCCGTGGAAATACACAGAGTATATATTTTTAATTTTTTTTTAATCTACATAGGCTTACTTAGAAGCTCTCATGAATAGTCAAGAGAAAAAAAATACATTTTAAGAAATTAAAAAATCTTAACAGATAACAATTTCAATCACTGTCAATTTCAATGATGGCTAATAATAATAATCTTCCGCGTACTAGATGTCACTAGTTGACACTGTGGTGAAGTTTTGCTACATAATGTAATGTAATAGGTAGTAGATAGCAATAATTATATATCTACCAATGACATAAAAAATTAACTAACTATAATAGGTAGTGTGACCCTGTATCATTTAAAACAAATGATGTAAACGCAACGCTCTTAAGTCCCAACGATGCATTACAATAACGGTCACAGATAATAATAATCGCAGAGCTATCGAAACACTGCGATTATATTATAGTCCGAATAAAAACGATATAAACGAAACGGGCGGAGCGTATAACTGAAATATCAGTTTGATATCGCGCGGTTTGATTCGCCGTGATGCGGGACGCCTTAAGGCGGGGCTTAGGCAGAGAGGGGGCGCTAGGTCGGCGACTCGCCATACCATTCCGTGCAAGCCGCGGTGTCACTCGTATCCTGTAAGTTCCTCCGCGACCGTCCCGTTGTATGACCGTGCGTGTGTGTAACGTGTGAACACGTGCCGCCGTGTGGCGTGTTATCCTTGCCCGTGTCGCAGAAAACCGCCAAGATTCGGGTGAAGAATCGTGAGCCGGTGCCGGCGTACGCCATGGCCGACGCCGACCGTGATTCCGACCTTGGCGACGATAGTCCAGTGGTGAGTTTGATTCATTTTGTGTTATTGTTAAATACGTGGTTCGCGAAAGATGTACACAATAATACCATACTACTTGTTAAGTTACTTTCGAGCTTGATCTTTTGGAAAGCAACGAAACATTCCAAAAAATCGTTCCTTTATGTACGATTTTTTAAGCAGGGACATGGGAATATAAATTTCATACTCATATTTTTAATTTTTATCTTAACAACAGAATTTAACTACGTTCGTGATGCTTATTGACTTTTTAATGAAATAATTTAAAATTAAGGTAGTTAATGAATGTAATTTGTAATACTTAATATTATTATCTAGGCTACATATTTCTCAATGTTTATTTACTAGTTCATATAATGCATTTTTATACAGATTTTAAGGTGTCTATGTCATATTGCCAGTCTGTTGTTGATTTTTTTTGTTTTGCTTTTTGTATGTCACAAGAATTATCTGTATACCCACAAGAATGTGAGTAATGTAAAATTGTTCATAAATAGTATCTACCCGTTATAGCAATATTGTGTTTGTTGCATCGACCTCCGTAAGCAGGGTTCCGCGGGTCATGGATTTACATCCCGACTAAAGCCAATAATTTTGTGTAATAATTATTAGTTCATGCTCCTGTTTGGGAGGGCACCCTTATTATGCCTTGACCTATAGTTGATAACTTCTATAGTTCCCACCAATACCTACCTATACGAAAGTTTACTCAGAGATTGAATAATTTATTATCTATCCCTATATGTCGTTTAGTTTTTTTTAATTGCTTTCATCAAAAAACTGCGCAATTTATGTTTGAAATTCTGAAGCTGAATATTTTGATAAAAATTGTATATAGGTATATCTACGTTTGCATTATTCCGTTGATAAAATATTTGAGGACCTACTATGTGGGCTAAACAAATTTCATTACTCATACCTACGGTATCAATGTGATCTTTTTTTGATATTCTAGTGATAAGATAGATGAATGTTTTCAGTATAACTAACATAACACCTATACCTTTGGTCATTATACCGTTGTTATTTTATATTAAAAAAACAGCATAAGGTGTGATGTGACTGAAATATCGGTGGTTTGGACCAAGATAGTTAAAATAACTTTTGGACAAGGGTATTTAATAAAAAAACGTTATATTCACTTTTGTTATTAATATTATAAAATTTGATTGTTATTATTAAAAATATAAAGTTGAATTGTTAACCTTCATCTTATTCGTCTTATATTTTACTTACTTACCTACTATGTTAGTCCTTCCATGTTATGAACTTGCAGCGACTAATATAGTATATACTTGTATTAGGTAATGAAAGAAGGAAATTAATTTATTTATGTAATATATTTAGTATATTTGATTTCCAATCAAAAAGTTTAATTCATTTTTAATATAAATAATTATTTTATTATTAACTATATCAATTATAACTATTATTATTTCTAATATTTTAATAATATTATCTATAATTTTATCAAAAAAAAATCATATATAGACTGAGAAAAATTTTCCCCACGAATATACAAGATAAGTGTAATATATAAAAAATAATGTAGTTATGGTATTATTAGTTGTAGAAAATTATATGATTTAATCACTACTTCCTAATGTAACATGGAAGTCTAGTGTAGACACCGGTGACTTCTAATAGTTCTAATGAGTCTTCGAAAAATGTTGGAAAGTACCTGGCACAAGTTTAACTTTTAACGTTATTATTTTTATTTCTACATAAAAGGTTGCTTACCTACGTTCGAATTCAATTGTTTTAATGATAACATTGTTCGAGGATCTAAACGCATATTTGGAATGTACACGGACGGGTTTGCAATAGAATTATAAAGAAGGGGAGATTTTTAACTGGGCAGGTAAACTTTTCTATCCATCATGATTGTAATTTATTTATGTTAACTAGGTTTTATTGTTTTGTAAACTGTATAAGTTAAAAGTAAATGTAAAATTGTCTAGCTTTGCATATGAAGTATGATTTTAGCCGACTTCGAAAGAAGGAGGAAGCTTACAATTCGAATGTATATTTTTTGTATGTGTGTTACGCCATAGCTTCGCATTTGTGAACCTATTTTGATGATTCTTTTTTTTTATTAAATAGGGTTCAGAGGTTATTCCTATATAAATATTGACAATGAATTCCACCCCAAACGGTGACAAAAAAGGGGATGAACTTTTTAAGTGTGTTTAACTATTTAGACAATATTGAGATTGTGGTATTCCTTAGTCGGTCAAAATTAAAAAAAAATATTTTGACAAAAAGTGAATTTCAACTTCAGACTAAAATAATAATTTTTTAAATTTACGCGAACACCAGACATTAAATAACATTGTATATATACGGATTTTATCGCGTTTTTAATTCCATATATGGGCACAGTTTTATTCAAAGGCTAAAATAATTTCATATTCTGCAGTCGAGGCTTTAATTCCTTCTATACACGATCTCTTAGTTTAATCTAACTATCAGATAACCTTCTTGTTGTATTGTTGCCTTTTTTTAAATCTGTTTGTAATTTAATCAAGACTTATTATTTTACATATACTTAATTATTATAACGTAATAGAAGTCATCTAACTTTATATTTGTTATTTATGTATTAATGACGAAATAAGCTGTGGTCTATAAAATGCAAAAATGAGTGTGAAGTTCAATATATAACAAAAATGAAGTTTTCGTCACATTATGCGAATATAAATTGATGCATCAAAGATATGTTTAACATGTGCGTTGCCGCCTTGGCGGCATTTTTTTTTAAAAATGGCGCCGATATGATTATTAATAACAAAAATCGGCTTGGGTTTTATATTGCGGGATGAAGGACGTCCCTTCTAACATCTGTGCCGACTTAGGGCTTTTGACTGTGCATTGTTTATTTAGCGGAACCATTTCTGTCGCTATTCATAATTTGTTGAAAAAAAGTACCTCGTCTATGTTAATTTGTAATTCTAGGAATATTGTCCTGACCAAAGTTGACCTTTAGTTTAGAAATTTTGTACTTTATATTGAGCAATATCTTTTTTTTTTATCCCTTTCATTTATCGTGCTGTATAATATATCAAAGAGGTACTTACCTATAGTATTTAACAAAGAAATTGTATGACGATGTATCTGAATGAACGACTTTACCCTGCCAAAATGCAAACTTGTGAGTTATTCTGAGTTAAAAATTTTAATGATCCATCGGGTCTGAGAACTTCATTTACCTGTATAAGACATCGTTAGCGATCTATTTCAGTCTAGACGGATTTGATGTTAGCGTTTGAATATATCATTTATTCAGTGGTGTGTCGTCCACTGGCGACATCTCACGGGAGGCAAAAGCACGCACAATTTATTATCCCTTCTCGGCGAATAGCTCACGAATTAATTAATCAAACCTCGCCGTCACTCACTGCACAATCGCGGCCTAAATATAAAGCCGGAGCTCTGAGGCGTCCGCTAGCTTCCTTTTCCTGTCGACGCGACATTTCATTAATTGAAATAATTGGCGAGTTTCGAGATTTAGTTCTTATGCGCTGACAACACATTTCGACGCTAGACATCATTTTAGTTGGTAATTAAAAATTGAATTGTGGGTTAAAAAAGAAGAAAACTTCTATCCTTAGGCCAACGCAAATCTACTAAATTTTATCAGATATATAGGTTATCCGAAAATGAATCTATTTTTTAATACTTAATAGTTTTAATGATAAGTGTATCATTTATGTAACGGGTAATGCCCGAAGTAGCACCTAAACAAAAATTTTCCGGGTACTTTTGGGTAAAATCGTAATAATTTTATAAATAGCATAAATTAATGTCCGCAGCTTCGCAACGCAATTAACCTCCTGTCCCTTATATTTACTTGATATGTGCTTTCTAATTTATGACTAATTTAACAAAAGTCATAGTAATTTTTATTACTATTTTAACTTTACCGCACCCACCTTACCATTTATGTTCATATTTGACAATAGGTATAATAATAAAAAGAATTTACTATTTAGCTATGCAATATTTTAAGTTTTGGCATACTTTTTCTTGTTTGCAACATCAGAATAGTTAGTTTTTAGTTAGTACTTAGGTATTTTGGGAACAACTTATTTTTGTTTCGTTTCGTTGATGAATTTACACTATTTCTGAATTTCTTATGAAAAATATAATATACAATAATAGTATAAAAAATCTATTAATTTACAATTTTCTTAAGCGTTTGTTTTATTCGTGAAGACTCCTACATGTTCAATAAAAAAAATCAAACAAATTGACCATTTATCCTGTTATCTGTCACTAAAGAAGGTGTGATGCGTTCTGTCTAAATTCAGCAGGTGTCTCACCCTTGCAGACTACCTGGTCGCGTGCCTTCTTCACACGAAGGTGGGGCTCACTGACACCGAATTTGAAATGTAAGCGTTGAAAATCCTTGCTTACATGCGTTTTTTGTGTGCAGTGTCAGTGCTTTCTATTTTTAAAACCATGTTTTTCAGAGCTATAGGTAATTAATTATTACAAAGTTATATCTTTGAAATCTATATAAGTACAAACCGGTGGCGGTGAACAGTTTACTGATTGTATTTTATGCGGTATTTTTACAAATAATTAAAATAAATTATACAAATGTAATTATATTTATCAAAATCATTTTTGTTTCGTTTATTTTAGGTATTTAACGTCATGGTCTTTTGTTAAAGATATAATTTGCATACAAATAAAATAGCTGACTCGACAAAAGCGGCATTGTCACCGATCTTTACACAGGAATCGAGCTCAATCTTTTATCTCTCATTTAAATTCAATATAATATCTGTCGTAAATAATCATATTGATATTCAATATTTATAAAGGAAAGGTTGCGTGGGTTAACGCTGACGCTGACGCCTGAACGTATCGACCCGCATCTAAATTATAAAGTTAATTTGTAGGACGACGATACAAAAAAAATATTATAATAGATAAAAAGTATATTTTAAGGTGGAACAAACTGCAAAAATAACTATTTAAAGTTTGTTTAATTAGTT